TCTGCGTTTCATTGGACCTTAAACATCCAGAAGGCACACCCGACCCTATGATGGTGAAAGAGGGTACAAAATGCGGACTTGGTAAGGTAAGGAAAACATCCTGGATCAGGATGATGACAGTGATGTTTTTAAGTAGTACTAATCCTGTAGTAGGCAAAATAACATGTTGGTAGGAGAAACATCTAGAGAAAGGCAGATGATCCATATAGATCAATAATATTGATCAACAATCATGGGTAATGCTTTCTGACATGATACCGATATAACACCATCAGATAACAACAGCCCCCTGACTAGGTGGCTCAGTGGCTAAGACACTGAGCTTGTCAATGAGAAAGGTCGGAGGTTTGACAGTTCAAATCCCTAGTACTGGTCTCCTGTGTGAGCAGGGGGTTGGGCTAGATGACCTCCGAGGTCCCTTCCAACTCTGCTACTGTTACTGTTCATCAGCTTATCCCAGGTACCTCAAGTCGGTGGAAGAAATTGGCAGATTTCATCTACATGAAACATCTGACTGTGTGACCAGTCATCTAAACATCTGACTGTGTGACCAGTCATCATCAACATGACAATATGTTCTGTCCCTGTTCCACTCACTCACCCCCACAGACGGCCCAGAGTTAATAAGCCACATGACAAAATTCTTTGAAAATAAAGCTGGCAGCAACCCAGTGGCTAGCTGCCAATTTAGACTTTACTCACACAAAACAAAGATTAGACTGCCAGCATTCCGATAAAACAGGCAGTTTTCAACAATACAAGGATTAATCCAAATGCAGTCCGATAAAGCAGGCAAAGTCCAATAACGCAGAGATCATGGATTATTTCCAGTTTTTGCTCGTCACAAACTGAACCGGCCACCACATCCACATTTATACCCTGTGGGGTGTGGTCCAGTGACTCAGCTAATCTCTGGCACGCCTTCCCCTCTGCTGCGCACGCTTCTCCCTGCGCCTCTGCCGAGGATCCAGCCAGCACTTATCTTCTTCGTCGCTGTCCACCTGTGGCTGCGGGGACATTCTTGGCTCTGAGCCTATCTTTTGGCCTTCGGTGTCCTCCGGAGGCATTGCCAGAGAGGAGGGTCCTGGAGAGGGAGGCCTTGCCAACTCCTCCCCCCCACTCTCAGAGTCTGCATCTGTCGATAGCCCAGGCTCAGGCAATGGAGCCACAACAGAATCTCTGCCTCTGGCACCACATTTTCTTCAGCCTCCTCGCTGTCCGACTCGAGCACCGGCTGCACAGGCTGCTGGCGCGATACCACAACAGCCTCCTTGTCGTCGGGATCAGCCACAATCCACGCAGGCCACTGGCGGGCCACAACACTTCTTGGATGAGAAGCAAAACGTCTTCAAAAGAAAAAAACTAGAAAGTCCAGGTGCCTCCTGAAAAAGCACCTTTGGGACAAGCTGTGATGATGAGTTTCGATCAAGTCACCATCTCTCTGCTGTACCTCACAGTGTTATGAGGGAGAAAAATGAGAGCAGGGAAGGCTTTTATGCAATGCCTTAACCTCCCGGAGGAAATGCGGCACATCAGTCTAACTATCCAATAAATGAAGCCCTTTGAAAAAAAAAGCCTTTCTTGTTTTAAAACCTAAAAAAAAAATATATGTATATATATTGTTCCTTGTAGATTTGCCTCAGACAAAAATGCGAAAACCATGGAAATCTGAATTATGATTGTAACTCTGCGAAGAAATGCTCAGGACATGGGGTAAGTCAAAAAGGAAAAAAAAAGATTTCCCATGAATTTTATTTTATTTTTTTTAAAAAAAGGGGGAGTTTCTTTCTTTCTTGGGCCAAAAGAGGAGAGGAAAGCATCTTGGTTGTGAAAAAGCCAATTTGGAGTTGGAGACCAGGTTGGCCTAGTTAGTGCATAGGTTCCATGGCCTAGTGCGATGTTTGTCATCCTTGGGCATGAGGATGCTGCTGTGACTGCAAGTGTGAAAACCAGTCATAAGTCAAAAATAGTCATTTTTCAATGCTATTGTATCTTTGACTGGTCACTAAAGGAATAGTTGCAAGTTGAGGAATTCTATTCCACTCCACTCCGTTCCATTTTCTTTCCATTCTTCTTTCCATTGTTATGTTGTGTTGTGTTGTGTTGTGATGTGATGTGATGTGATCTGATGTGATGTGATGTGATGATCCGATTTGTTCCATTCCATTCCTCTCCATTCCCTATTCTATTCCAGTCCATATTCTATTCTGTTCTGTTCTGTTCCATTCTTTCCATTCCATATTTTATTTCATTTCATATTCTATTCTGTTCTGTTCTGTTCCATTCCATATTCTATTTCATTCCATATTCTATTCGGTTCTGTTCTGTTCCATATTCTATTTCATTCCATATTCTTTTTGGTTCTGTTCTGTTCCGTTCTTTCCATTCCATATTCTATTTCATTCCATATTCTATTCTGTTCTGTTCTTTCCATTCCATATTCTATTCTGTTCTGTTCTGTTCTTTCCATTCCATATTCTATTTCATTCCATATTCTATTCTTTTCTGCTCTGCTCTGTTCTGTTCTGTTCTTTCCATTCCATATTCTGTTCTGTTCTGTTCTTTCCATTTCATATTCTATTTCATTCCATATTCTGTTCTGTTCTGTTCCTTTCCTTTCCTTTCCTTTCCTTTCCTTTCCTTTCCTTTCCTTTCCTTTCCTTTCCTTTCCTTTCCTTTCCTTTCCTTTCCTTTCCTTTCCTTTCCTTTCCTTTCCTTTCCATATTCTATTTCATTCCATATTCTATTCTGTTCTGTTCTGTACTGTTCTTTCCATTCCATATTCTATTTCATTCCATATTCTATTCTGTTCTGTTCTGTTCTGTACTGTTCTTTCCATTCCATATTCTATTTCATTCCATATTCTATTCTGTTCTGTTCTGTTTCTTTTCATTCCATATTGTATTTCATTCCATATTCTATTCTGTTCTGTTCTGATCTGGTTCATTCCATTCCATATTCTATTTCATTCCATATTCTATTTGGTTCTGTTCTGTTCCATATTCTATTTCATTCCATATTCTATTTGGTTCTGTTCTGTTCCATTCTTTCCATTCCATATTCTATTTCATTCCATATTCTATTTCATTCCATATTCTATTCGGTTCTGTTCCGTTCTGTTCCGTTCTGTTCCTTTCCATTCCATATTCTATTTCATTCCATATTCTATTCGGTTCTGATCTGGTTCATTCCGTTCCATTCCATTCCGTTCCGTTCTGTTCTGTTCCGTTCCATTCTTTTCTGTTCCCTTCCATTCCACTCGCCAAAAGCATCCTCCCATTTGGAAACACTCGACCGCAAGATTTAAATCCATTCAGGTTTTCTCTGATCGATTTTTTCAGGTATGTAATAACAAAAGAAATTGCCACTGCGACCCAGGCTGGGCTCCTCCAGACTGTCGGATAAAAGGAAGCCCGATGGGAGGAAGTATTGACAGCGGACTTCGCTATCTGGATCTGGGTCAGTCAGTTGTATCCTACAGGGACGTTCTCCGGCCAAACCAATCAATCAATCCAGCCCTTTGAATGAGCAGAGGCTGGCCCCCTTCTTTCTTTTAAATTTATGACCCCAGGACACTTCAAACATCATATATATATATATATATGTGTGTGTGTGTGTGTGTGTTTTCTGAGGTTTTCGCGGGTGTTTGTATGTAGGTCTTTGGTTATTCGGGTTTTCTCCCGCGTAAAATTGGAGGTGTCTTGGCAACGTTTCGACGAAGTCTCATTCGTCATCTTCAGGCTGGTGTTCTCGGTTTCGTGCTTCTAGGAGCAATGTCATTGAGCTGATCAGGATCGAACTGCTGGCAGTTGGCAGAATTATCCTGCAATACTGCATTCTAACCACTGAGAGAGAGGGAGGGAGGGAAGGAAGGGAGAAAGGAAGGAAAATAGCAATAGCACTTAGATTTATATACCGCTTCACAGTACTTTAGAGACCTCTCTAAGTGGTTTACAATGTCAGCGCTCTTGTCCCACCAACAATCTGGGTCCTCATTTTACCGACCTTGGGAGGATGAAAGGCTGAGTCAACCTTGAGCCAGTCAGAATCAAACTCCTGGCTGTGGGCAGAGTCAGCCTGCAATGCTGCATTCCAAACACTGTGCAGCATGGATGGATGGATGGATGGAAGGAAGGGAGGAAGGAAGGAAGGAAGGAAGGAAGGAAGGAAGGAAGGAAGGAAGGAAGGAAGGAAGGAAGGAAAGGTAATAGCCTTTAGACTTATATACCGCTTCACAGTGCTCTAAAGCCCTTTCTAAGCGGTCGACAGAGTCGGCCGCTTGCCCCCAACGATCTGGGTCCTTATTTTATCCACCTCGGAAGGACGGAAGGCTGTTCCCTCCCTCTCTGTGGAGAAAAGGCCATTCAATTTTGACGCGGATGACCTCTTCCTATCTAGATCTTGCAAAAAAGGCCAGAGAAGACACCATGAGGACGTGGATCCTGCTTAGCATTTTCCTGTTCCTGCCCATTATTATTGGAAGCAGCCTTCTGGCTTTTAAATGGAAACGTATCAAAAAATCTTGCTTCGAAGATGATGAACTGGATGAGGATTCCGAGTAAGTTGCTTTGAACGGGATGGACCCGCAAAGTTGGGTCACCTATACCAACCAAGACTCTCTTAAATCATCTTGATTACTGTTGCTTTCCAGGTCTTTTTCTAGATCAGAAGAGAGTAACACATCGGAAAAAACAAGGTAAGCCTCTCGAAAGCTGAGGTGGGCAACCTCCTGCAATCTAGAACCTGGTTTTTGCCTCTGGCAAAGATGAGTTTATTTTGTAAGACCAACGGCTGCTGTAGGCAAAGCCCTTTTTTTCTTGCTGTTCCATTTTAATTCTAAAAAGACAGAAATGAAGGACTTGTGGCCTGCCAGCGGCCAGCGGATCTGGCAGCAGATTTGGACAGTGAGGAGGTTGGGGAGGAACATGGGCCAGTCCTGGAGTCTGGGGAGGGCTCTGCGTCAGAGGCAGAGATGGGGCCAGGGCCGTCTGGCAGTTGTCAGATGCCTTCAGAGTCGGACATCAATGAGGTAGAAGAACAGCGGGAGCCTGTTCCCAGTGTGCGTTGCCAGGAGAAGGGAACAAGCTAAGGAACAAGGGTCGACTCAGGAGTAAAGCCACAGGTGGACGGTGAATGGCCCCTCCCAGAGGGAATAGAGAGGAGCAAAGCGGAAAGGAGTTTGCAGGAGACAATTAGTTCATTCGGGTGAAGATCTGTTCCTGCATTCTTGCCAAGTATTGTCGGTTACAGTGTGCAGTCTGAAAGATATCGGCCTGGCCACTCTCCAAGCCTGATAAAAGTCGGTAATTGTGAATTGTAACCCTATCTCGAAAGATTGTGGGAGAGGACTGTTGTGACCTAGGCCCAAGTAGTTATTACCAGACACAATCAGTGCTAAACAAACATATTTTATTAGAACAGCTGAGAATTACTTCATTCTCAGCTTAGTTCAAATTAAGTCCAAAACAAATTCTTCATGAACAGTCCTTCAGCCTTATCACCAACCTTTGTCTTCTTTGGCACCCTGCCAAAGGCCTTTCTTGGCAAAGCCCCATGACCTTCAGAAACAAGAGACGCCGACAAGAAACAAATGTAGCAACGTTGCTTTCCTACAAAGATCCCAAGAGCCGTTGCTGCTCTTTTAAGCCTTCTGGGAGGGGCCAATCATCTCATGGCCTTACTCCTGAGTCGTCCCTTTTGCTTTAGCCGCTCTTGCCTTCTGGCAGCTCTTTGAATGCGTGCACTAGGAACAGGCTCCTCCTGTTCCTCTGCCTCTCTACTATCTGCCTCTGGAGGCTCCGGAGTATGCGTATCTCTCCGAGATGGCCCTGGCCCCAACTCTGCCTCTGACGCAGAGCCCTCGTCCGGGCCTTCCCCAGACTCCAGGACTGGCCCATGTTCCTCCCCAGCCTCCTCACTGTCCGACTCTGCTGCTAGCTCCGCAGGCTGCTGCGGACTACAACAAAGACTTTGCTGGAGAGGAATTCACTGTAAATTAAATAAAAGGGGTTTATCGGGAGGAGGACTCAGCTTTGTGCTGCAGGGGAAGCTTAGGTCAGAACAGGATTGCAAAATCCAGATGTGTGGATGGCAAATGTCCCTGGACCTTCTCCACCCCTTCTGGTAGAATTGGTATCATAAGGGAGCTTTTTTCGATCAGCCTAAGAAAGGGATGTGTTTCCCTCTCCTCCCTCACCTTATTTTCAAAACAACAAAGCAAACACTTGTTGGATGGGTAATTCTCATAATATTCTTTAAGACTTATCTATTCCTTTTAAGTTTCAGCTAAACAGATCTGATGTGAGCGGAGGAAAATTACACAGCGGCTTTCCACGGAAGAAAAGAGGACGCAAGATCACTGCACATTTATGTATATGCCATCTAATAAATCACGGTTTAAAGCACGAACGATTGACTTTCTAGTATGGATGTGGGAGTGGTGCGGTGGCCTAGAGGTGGAGCTCTCGCCTCACAATTGGGAGGCTGTGAGTTCGATCCTAAGTAGCGGCAGATATTTCTCTCTCTGGGCACAATGAGAATATATCTGCTGAAAAAAAACTCTGCATTGGTGACAGGAAAGGCATCCGGCCAGTAAACACTCGGTGTCCAGAGCAATAGACATGGTATAATTCCGTTCAGTTGCTCAGACTCCACCCCGCAAGGGATTATGAGATGTGGGCAACACCTCAATTATTTTTGGGTCAACTTTTTTTAAATTTTTTTTATTTTTTAAACATAACAAAACATAAAAACAACCATCATTCAATACAATCACAGAAAGTGTGTCGATCGGTTAAGATTCTTTTGTGCTTAATCTCAAATCCAGGATTACAAATCTTTTAATTTCTCTTATTTGACAATTTTATATATCCCTTTATATTATTATTCTCATTTAGCAATTATTTAACAAAGGCTTATCTCCCATAAGAAAACACTACATATATTTTATCCTTAATTTCATATTTCATATTTCATCTCCATGTTTTATTATCTAGCCATTGATAAAACAAATCCTATATCAAATAGTATTCTTTATCCTCTTGTTCTCTGATTTCAAATGTCAATTTACTCATTTCAGCACATCCCATAATTTTCTTAACAACTTCATCCACAATAGGTATTTTCTCTTTTTTCCAATTTTTAGCAAATACAATTCTAGCCGCTGTTAAAACATTCACAATTTAATATCTCAATTCTTTGAGTCAACTTTTTGAGCAGCTTTAAAAGCCCGCAGTGCGAGCGGTGCGGTGGCCTACAGGTGGAGCTCTCACCTTACAATCGGGATCCTAGTTCAATCCTAGGTAGAGGCAGATATTTCTCTCTCTGGGCACACTGGGAATATATCTGCTGAAAAAAAAACCTCCGCATTGGCGACAGGAAAGGCATCCGGCCAGTAAATACTCAGCTCCATTCAGTTGCCCAGACTCCACCCCGCAAGGGATGATGAGGTTATTAAAAGAGGATGATGATAAAAGCCCACAATGCCAAAATTGCGCAAGCATATTGCATGTGTCTTTTTGCAGTTAAAGAGTTGTCCTTTTGCTGTCTCCGAGTAAATCTCCTGTGTTCTTCACGATCCTTCTTTTGCTTCAGGAAAGACACCTGAAAGTACAGGTGGTTCTCGACTTGCAACTCATTTAGTGACCGTTCAAAGTTAAAAACGGCACCGAAAAAGCGACGCACGAACGTTTTTCACACTTACGGCCATTGCAGTATCCCTTGGTCACGTGATTAAAATTCTGACTCGGACTTACGACCGTTGCTGTCCCCCCCCCCAAAGTCATGCGATCCCCTTTTGTGACCTTTTGGCAAGGAAAATCAACGGGGAAGCCAGATTCACTTAACAACCATGTTACTAACTCATCAATGGCAAGTGATTCGCTTAAGAATTGGGGCAAGAAAGGAGAAAAACTCACTTAACAACTGTTTCACGTAGCCGCAGAAATTTTGGGCTCGAAAGGTCAGAAGGTCATATAAGGGGAACACATGATCCAGGACACTGCGACGGTCATAAATATGAGTCACCCTCAGTGACCGCGTGGCTGCTGTAATGGTTGTAAGTGTGAAAAACAGTCGTAAGTCACTTTTTTTCCGGTGCCACTGTAATTTCCCAAGGTCACTAAATGAACCGTTGTAAGTCGAGGACAACCTGTATGGCCATTGATGGGAATGACCATGATATGTGATCAACGCATTCCAAAATCCCCGCAAAATCCAGGACCAAGAGTACCTTAAATCTACTCAAAGGTGCTTTTTCAAAAGCCAACTTGCTTTTGAAAGTGGAAGTGGAGGAGGAAGGGGAGAAGAATGGGGGAAGAGGGAGAGGGAGGAGGAGGAGGAGGAGAAAAGGAAGGAAGGTGCTCTCTGAGCTTGGCTGTTTTCTTGCAAACATTTCATGACTCAACTAGGTAACATCAAAGTATGAAGGCTATTGCTTAACGCATTGTAAGCCGCCCTGAGTCTCCGGAGAAGGGCGGCATATAAATCAAATTAAAAAAAAAAAAAAATCATCAGGGCTAGAAGAGAGTGGGGTTTGTGGAGAAGAAGGGGAGGAGGAGGAGAGGAGGAGGAAGGGGGAGGAAGGAGGAGAAGGAAGACAGGAGGAGAAAAAGTAGAGGAGGAAGAGGGAGTAGGAGAAGAAGAAAAGGAAGGAGGAAAGGAGGGGGAGGAAGGAAGAAGGAGGGGGAGGAGAAGGAAAAAGGAGGAGAAGGAAAAGGAGAGGAGGAGGAAGGAGGAGGAGGAAGAGGGAGAAGGAGGAGAAGAAAAGGAAGGAGGAGGAGAGGGGAGAGGAAGGAGGAGAAGGAGAAGGAAAAAGGAGGAGGAGGAAAAGAAGAGGAGGGGGAAGGGGGAGGAAGGAGGAGAAGGAAAAGGAGAGGAGGAAGAGGGAGAAGGAGGAGAAGAAAAGGAAGGAAAAGGAGAGGAGGAGGAAGGGGGAGGAAGGAGGAGGAGGAAAAGGAGAGGAGGAAGAGGGAGAAGGAGGAGAAGAAAAAGAAGGAAAAGGAGAGGAGGAGGAAGGAGGAGAAGGAGAAGGAAAAAGGAGGAGGAGGAAAAGGAGAGGAGGAGGAAGGAGGAGGAGGAAAAGGAGAGGAGGAAGAGGGAGGAGGAGGAAAAGAAAAGGAAGTAGGAGGAGAGGAGGAGGAAGGAGGAGAAGGAGGAGAAGAAAAGGAAGGAGGAGGAGAGGAGGGGAGAGGAAGCAGGGGGAAGAGAAGAAGAAGGAAAAAGGAGGAGGAAGAAAAGGAGAGGAGGAGGAAGGAGGAGAAGGAGGAGAAGAAAAGGAAGGAGGAGAGGAAGGGAGAAGAAGCAGGAGGAAGAGAAAAAGAAGGAAAAAGGAGGAGGAAAAGGAGAGGAGGAAGAGGGAGAAGAAAAGGAGGGAGGAGGAGAGGGGAGAGGAAGGAGGTGGAGGAGAAGGAGAAGGAGAAGGAAAAAGGAGAAGGAAAAGGAGAGGAGGAAGAGGGAGAAGGAGGAAAAGAAAAGGGAGGAGGAGGAGAGGAGGGGAGAGGAAGGAAAGGAAAAAGGAGGAAGAAAAGGAGAGGAGGAAGGAGGAGAAGAAAAGGAAGGAGAGGAGGGGGGAGGAAGCAGGGGGAAGAGAAGAAGAAGGAAAAAGGAGGAGGAAGAAAAGGAGAAGGAGGAGGAGGAGGAGGAAGGAAGGGGTAAAATGCGGACCCCAGATTGTCGGGGGGCAACAGGCTGACCCCGTCAACCGCTTGGAGAGCGCCCTAAAGCGGCATCCAAGTCTTCGGGGCTGTTGCTTCTTGCAACCGCGCGCCTTTCGCGGACCGCTTCTCGGTTCGGAGCGGCCCGAACGCGGCCGTGGAACCTCCAGGCGCGGAGCGAAGCGTCTCCGGGCGCGTGGAAGGCTTCCGCCGCGCCCGTTAGCGGTTGCCCGTGGCCGCCGGCGCCGCCTGCCCGGCCGCCCGCCATGGCTCTGCTAGCGCTGCTGCCCTTGGCCCTCCTGGCCGCCGCCGCCTCCTTCGTGGCCCCGCAGGGTGAGTCCGCTGCGCCCGGCGGTGGGCAGAAACCTGGGTTTCCCTGGTTTAAGAGGCGGGGGTGAGGGGGGGGAGGAGAGGGGGGGGCCCTTTAGGACCCTAGTAACCACCAGAGGTTATTGTGGTGGGGGGGGGGCTCATCAGCATCTTCTGATGGGGACAGGGATGATGGCACCCTTGAGATGAGGATGCCAGCGAGCTTGAACTGCTGGGAGAAAAACTACTACTTTTCTCTTCCTTCTCCCTCGATCCCTCCCTCCCTTCCATATCCAAAATTATGTATATGTGGGTATATACATAATTTTTTTTCTTTCTCTCTCTCTCTCATCTCTCATCTATCTATCTATCTATCTATCTATCTATCTATCTATCTATCTATCTATCTATCTATCTCTTCTATCATCCATCTATCCATCTATCAATATTATCTATCTATCTATCTATCTATCTATCTATCCATCCATCCATCCATCCATCCATCTATCTATCTTTTCTATCATCCATCCATCTATCAATCTATCATCTATCTATTATCTATCTATCTATGTATCTATGTATCTATCTATCTATCTATCTATCTATCTATCTATCTATCTATCTATCTATCTACCTAATTACCTATGTCTTCTATCTATCATCCATCCATCCATCCATCCATCCATCCATCCATCCATCCATCCATCCATCCATCCATCCATCCATCCATCCACCAACCAACCAACCAATCAATCAATCTATCCACCCACCCATCTATCTATCTATCTATCTATCTATCTATCTATCTATCTATCTATCTATCTATCTATCTATCTCTTCTATCTATTTAATTATTTTGTCATGTTCATGTAGTGTATATTAGAGGGGGTGACCCTTTGAGAGCTGTATGGAACGAAATTTAATTTTAATGTATACTGATCAGTGTACATTCAAAGTGACAATAAAGTTTCTTCTCTTCTCTTCTCTTCATATAATATTGGTTTCCTTATCCCACTGCCAATCATGTGACTTGGTGGTGGCAAATGCAAAATGTTCATAGTGCAATTAAAATATATATATATAAAAGAATTTAAGCCATGGCAAAGTAACTCTAAAACATGTGTTGTACTATAAACAATGCCCAATGACTCCAGAAGTTGTGAATGCTGCAACACTGGAAGTTTTTAAGAAGATGTTGGATAACCATTTGTCTGAAGTGGTGTAGGGTTTTTCTGCCTAAGCAGGGGGTTGGACTAGAAGACCTCCAAGGTCCCTTCCAACTCTGTTTATTCTATTCTATTTCCCCCATGGCATTGTTATGTTGAAAATGGATATAATTGATTACGTGCCATCAAATTGACTCCTAGCGACCATGTGGACAGATTTTTCTCCAGTCTCCAAGGTGGTCCATGAGGCCTTCCAGTGATGTCCGCATCACCATGGTAACGGAGCCCAATCTTGCTGCTGGTCATTCCCTTCTTCTCTGTCCACCTTTCCCATCAATAGAGTCTTTTCCTGGGAGCTGCAGCATCTTTCCATAAAGTGTGAAGTAGGACAATTAGAGCTTCATCATTTGTGCCATGAATGAAAACTTGGGGCGGGTAATTTGGTACTTACTGTAGATAAGAGCGTGAAAACTCAAGCTATCAATTGATTGATTGACTGATTAAGTGATATTGTCAGTTTCTGCTCCTAGTTGCCACATGGATTGACAATAGCAATAGCCCTTAGATTTATATACCGCTTTGCAGTACTTTTACGGCCCCTCTCTAAGTGGTTTACAGAGTCAGCCTCTTGCCCCCAACAATCTGAGTCCTCATTTTATTCACCTCGGAAGGATGGAAGGCTGAGTCAACCTTGAGCCGGTCAGGATCAAACTGCTGGCAGTGGGCAGAGTTAGCCTGCAATACTGCATTCTAATCACTGAAAGGGAGGGAGGGAGGAAGGAAGGAAGGAGGGAAGAGCAATAGCACTTAGATTTATATACCGCTTCACAGTGCTTTACAGCCCTCTCTAAGCGGTTTACAGAATCAGCCTCTTGCCCCCAACAATCTGGGTCTTCATTTGACCCACCTGGGAAGGATGAGAAGGCTGAGTCAACCTTGAGCCTGGTGAGATTTGAACTGCTAAATTACAATCAGCCGGTAGTCAGCAGAAGCAGCCTGCAGTACCGCACTCTGACCACTGCGCCACCTCGGCTCTTACAAAGGAACTTTTGCTTGATTAGCAATGGAAATTTGGGGCTCACTTGCGGTGGTAAATCAAGAGCTACTACCTGTATACATGATTATGAGATTCTTTCTCCTGCCTAGGGTCTCAGCGGTCATTTCTGCAGGTGATTGTTCCTCAGAGGAACCCAGGTCACATCACTGAAAATAAGGTATTTCTATGGATTGTTTTTTTCCTGGTCTGTTGTCAATGTTGCTAATTCACCTTTCAATCTAATCCGGAGCATTCAACCTTGACATCTTGAAGACTTGTGGGCTTCTGGTTGGGGAATTCTGGGAGTTGAAGTCTGTCAGAGTTGGTTGCAGAAATCAAAATTTATTTATTTATTTATTTATTTATTTATTTATTTATTTATTTATTTATTTATTTATATTTATATACCGTCCTTCTCCCAAAGGACTCAGGGCGGTGAACAGCCAAGATCAAATACATAACATATAAAAATTAAAAACGATTTAAAACCAGATTAAATACTTTGGCCCATAATTAAAAACATCCCATTAAAATCCAATTTAAAATTTAAAATTTAAATCCAGAATTCAAATCCAGAAAGCACGCACTTTTATTTAAATTTAAATTTAAATCCAGAAAGCACACACAGGCAGACTGATGCAGCAGGATTCATTAACTTCTCTTTATATACAGTATAACACAGAAGTAAATGTACAATACCAATGGCTGATTCTTCTAAGGTGGTAGAGAGAACAAGTTAGTTTCAGTTCCAGCAGCAGACAGACAAGACCAGACTTGTTTTCAGTGTCAGAGCTTAATACAGAGCCACGCCCAGCCTCCTTCCAGTTTCAGTTTCTAAACTGTCCTCATTGGCTGACACAGTTGCTCTGCCTATTCATTGGCTGACTTTGTTACCATGTCTCCCTTCGGTTCATGAATATTCTGACAAAGTCCACAAGTCTTCAAAGTTGCTGAGGTTGGACCTCTCTCTTTAAATACTGAGCTGAATAAACGTATTGGTAAAAGCAGCCACCACATTTCCCAGATTTACAAAGAGAGTATGGCTTAATAAGAAGCTGACGGAACATACAAAGTCTGTAGAGGTCTATAGAGCCTGCGTCCTTAGCACACTCTTGTACTGCAGTGAGTCTTGGACCCTTTACGCACGGCAGGAGAGAAAGTTGAACACCTTTCATCTGCGCTGTCTCCGATGTATTCTTGGCATCACCTGGCAGGACAATAGTGCAGTCTTGGAACGTGCTGAAATTTCTAGCATGTATACACTATTGAAACAGCGACATCTACGCTGACTAGGGCATGTCGGGAGAATGGTTGATACTCGGATTCCGAAAGATCTCTTGCATGGAGAATTAGTGCCGGGAAAGCGCCCCAAAGGGAGACCACAGCTGCAATGTAAGGAGATCTGCAAGAGGGACCTAAAGGTCCTGGGAATAGACATTAACAACTGGGAAACCTTGACCTCCGATTGTTCAGCTTGGAGGCTAAAGACGCAGCATGGCCTTCTCCAATTCGAAGAGACACTTGTTCGGCAGGCCGAGGCAAAGAGGCAGTCCCGGAACCAGCGAAATCTGGAGGCTGGGCAGGGGACAGAATGTATCTGCCCTCAGTGTGGAAGGGATGGCCACTCTCAAATCGGTCATTTTAGTCACACCAGATGCTCTTTTAGGACCTCTTTCCAGAGCACGATCCCATAGTCTCTTGAGACGGAAGGATGCCAATGACAAAATCCCTTCAATGGTTCAAATAAGGGGTGGCTGGAAAGGCAGACAAACCAGCTTAGATCAGACCAGGAATAATTCAGAAGTCAGACGCTCTGCATTCTGGTTGTAACCCCTCAATCTGCCTGTTGGTCAACGGCCAAAAGGAGAAAGTCAAACGGGGTGGATGGGTGGTAGGAATGGCAACTGGTCAGCTTGCCTAGAGTGACAGACATACTCATAAATCAGGGCTGCAATGGATTATAGGATATTGATCAGTAGCGGGAAACACTAAAGTTATTCATGCTTGTTTGGGGATTGTAGTGAGCTCTCCAAGGTGCTGATGATGGTGTTTGTGCTCTGTAGATGGACAACTCCTAGTTGGATTTTTAGGACTAGCCTGGCCAGGATAAATATTGATACCGTATTTTTCTGACACTGAGAACAATCTTGAAGACTTGAAGACTTGGCTTGTCAAACAAATAGGCTGAGTCTGATTCCGGGCTTTATTATTGACTATTAATTAATTATTTGGATTAATTATGATTTTATTGTACTTGTTTCTTAACTTGTGTTCGCCGCCCTGAGTCCTTCGGGAGAATGGCGGCATATAAATACATGTAATAAATAAATCAACCCATGGAACCGAAGTTGCCTTCTGGAAGTTGTGGGAGCTTCAATCCCTGGAAGCTTTCAAGAAGGGACTGGACTGCCATCGGTCAAAAATAGTATAGGGCAGGGGTGAAACCAGCAGTTTCTGACAGGTTCTGGAGAACCGGTAGCGGAAATTTTGAGCATTTCGGAGAACAAGATCCCCTTCCAACTCTGCTGATCTGTATCTGTCTTACATATTTGCACATCACTGAGTTGGGGAGAAATCTCCTTTGGCGTAAATAATGTCTAACTTGGTGGCTTTGAGGGGATCCCAAGTTCCTAGGCAGATTCTATTTCTATTTTCATTTATTAAGTTATTGAGATGTATTTTTATTTATTTTTTTGCTTTAATTTATATGCCGCCCTTCTCCGGAGACTCAGGGCGGCTTACAATGCATTAAGCAATAGCCTTCATCCTTTTGTATATTTATACAAAGTCAGCTTATTGCCCCCACAAACTGGGTCCTCATTTAACCTACCTTTGAAAGGATGGAAGGCTGAGTCAACCTTGAGCCTGGTGAGATTTGAACTTGCAGTAATTGCAAGCAGCAGATGTTAATAACAGTGCTTTAGTCCACTGTACTACAGGCTCTTGCGTTTCGGGGTGGGGTGGGGCTTGCACCAAGGGAGGCTCATTCAATTTCACTGTACACATGTTGTGCATTGACAATAAAGATTTGATTTGGTTTGAAAGTTCTGGGTTGCAGAGAAGGGGTTTTTGTTTACGGAGCCTGTGATGGGATGTCTTGCGTCGCTCTAAAAAGCATTTCCAGCCAGCAGTAAAAATTTATTTTCAACCTTACCTTCTTTACAGTTCGTGCTGCTTGAATGTTGGTTTGATTTTTTATTTTTATTTTTATTATGGTTTATGCTGCTTGGATTTTGCGATATGAATAAAGCAATGGCAAATAATATCATAAACCCTTTGGCTGTTTCAGGAGAGGATGGCATTTGACATGAACATAGAAGGGGAATCCTTCTCAATTTATCTGAAGCAACAGTGAGTAAGGGAAATAACTGGGAACCTCTGCCCATTTTGGAGTTTGTTTGTTTGTTTGTTTGTTTGTTTGTTTATTTATTTATTTATTTATTTATTTATTTATTTAATTAATTTGTATACCGCCCTTCTCCCAAAAGGGACTCAGGGCGGTGAACAGCCAAAATTAAAATACATACAATACAAAAGTTAAGATAATTAAAAGAGATTAAATCAATCGGCCTCCCAATTTAAAACCCCAAGTCTATAAAATTTAAAAAAATCCCATTAAAAACCCTTTAGGGTTTAAGGAGTCACGTAAACAGTTCAAGGCTTGCCTGACCAAAGAAGAAGGAAATGATCTCCCATTCTGGTCTGCAGAAGAAATGAATTTATTTACAGAAGTAACAATTAATAAGTTGAACAACTTGCCTCCAGGAGTTGCGAATGCTCCAACACTGGAAGTTTTTAAGAAGATGTTGGATAACCATTTGTCTGAAGTTGTGTAGGGTTTCCTGCCTAAGCAGGGGGTTGGACTAGAAGACCTCCAAGGTCCCTCCCAACTCTGTTATTCTATGTTCTAAAAGATAGCCACAGGGGAACAGGACAAAATATGAATGCAACTCTCATTGGCTTGTAAATGTTGAAATAGCAGCTGGTAAAAGGCACTGCCCCTGGGTTCAGTCCTCCTCCTCCTCCTCCTCCTCCTCCTCCTCCTCCTCCTCCTCCTCCTCCTCCTCCTCCTCCTCCTCCTCCTCCTCCTCCTCTTCTCCACACACCCCACTCTCTTCTAGCACTGATGATGTTACCTAGTTGGGTCATGAAATGTTTGCAAGAAAACAGCCAAGCTCAAAGAGCACCAAGGACCCCTCATAATTTTCTTTGATTCTCATTCTCAGTCCGGTTTTATAATCTTTGTGTCAGCACTTCAAACTGCAATTACTCTAGTGCTGACATAAGAAGGAGAAGCGGAGGCATCTGGAAAGGGACGTTTGACTTTTCACCTACTTATTTTCCCTGGAGATAATATCCCCTAGGAGATGGGATGGGAGGGGGGAAATTCCTTTGAGCTGGAGCAGTCGATTAGGGGCAGAGTGATTTGGAAGATGGCCAGTGAGTGCAGGGGAGGGGGGAACGGAAAGGGAGGGGTTTGGGTCTGGAAGTCAGTGTTGGCTACGATGGAGTCGGACTTTGACTGTCATGCTTAATAAATGGGAGTTTTCTTCAAAGACTTTGTTTGAAATGCAATTTATTTGAGACGACCTCGAAACTTGACACTTTGATTTACCGGTTATTTATTTTCCTTTGGGTTCTAATTCCATATATCTATTGGGTTGTATCATGTAACGTGTCCTCTCTCTCTCTTTCTCTCTCTCACCTCTTCCCTCCTTTGTCCTGGATCTGGTGTCTGTCTGCTTTTTTTTTTTTGTAGAGCCTTTATATCCAATTATTTCAGAGTTTATACATACAACAAAGATGATACCCCAGTTTCATTCGTCCCTTCCAATCAGGTAAGATTTCTCTGAGACGGGAAGTAAGTATTTTTATCTAACGATCGTTTGATTCCACTAATCCACTGATTCGGAAAAACGGTCCCTCGATGATTTGAGTTTTAATTAATTGGCGGATCACGACCAGATATGTGTTAGTCTATTTTTATTGGGACAATGTTTAAAAAAAAAAATACAACACAAAACCAAAAGTAAGAAAAAAAGCTTTCCAACCATCAACAAAACAACAAACCAAGCTAAATATGTGCTTTTTAGGAAGTCCTCAACTTGCAAGGTTTATTTAGTGACCATTCTAAGTTACAACGCCACTAAAAAAAAAAGCAATTTAGGACCATTTTCCACATGGAAATGAGGAGTGTTGCAGCATTCCCCATGTCACGGGATCAAAATTCAAACGCTTGGCAGCTGACTCATATTTATGACAGTTGCACTGCCCCGGGGTCATGTGATCTCCATTTTGCGACCTTCTGACAGGCAAAGTCAATGGGGAAGCTGTGT